TCCACTCTCCGCTCTCCGCTGTCTCCAGTCTCCAACGAGGCATGCAGTCATCGCCGTTGCGAGTTGTTGTCGCTGAATTCAAGCAACGGTGATTCATCGAAATTAAAAATAAGTATCTCTATCTGTATCTTTATATGTATTTGTATCTCAGCGCTTGTTTCGCATTGTTCTCAAACACATTGCCCCTGTTGTTATTGTTGTTATTGCTGTTGTTGTTCTCGGTTTATTCAACGTAGAACGCTCGCATTTCCTGAGCTGTATTAGATGCTTTGACCCTGAGCCCGCAACGTTTCTTCGCACACAAAAGTTTACAGAACCATTTAGTTGCATTCCTGCAACGAACTTAATTGTTTGATCAACAACAAATTCAATAATCAACTAAAACAACACAATTATTACTTCCAGGAAACCACGCGAACTATCTGATTTCCCGGGCTTGTTTGCTTGCCAACTCGTAAATCTCATCAGATAAACTGATTTTACGAATTTCCCATTAATGATGGACATACAATCTTGCATTTGTTGTCTCAGTTTTGAAAGTATTCCCAAGTCTTATGTGTAAGTACTCTATTAAAAATATTGTATCTTAAGATCACAGAAGAATAGAAAACTTAAATATGAATTTCGGCTTGATATTCCACGTATAAAACCTAAGAAAAGAACAGATTTTTTTGTACAATTTAAGATTAACTTTAAAAAAGAGCAAATTGAATAATTTGAAGTGCTTTCAAATTCGTTACTTGCTTTGCTCTACTTAAACTAACATTTTTCAAGCCCTGCAGAACTTTAAAATTAATTATCTTCACATCTGCCTTATTTAGGCTCATGTATTTCCTAGCCTGATTGCGTACTTATTTCTCTCAGTGTATTCAGATAGTTTCTAGTACTGCCTAGCTATAGCGTATAGGTATTTGAGCATGGTGCCCCGCACTGCGCGTCGCTTCGCCCGGCGTTCTGACAGCGGAAACTATTTGTAATCTCGGTGCAATTTGGACACCTGTTTCAATATTGCAGCCAAGAAATCTTGACACTTCTGTCGCTGATCCTTGCCCGGCTGCAGCCAGCGCGTTGCGTTCCTGGCAAGGGGAAAGTTTTTGCATTGTATTGTGTGTGTGTGTGTGTGAGTGTGTGTGTGTTCAACATCCGGTCGCAGGGGCAGGTAAGACGGCTGCCCTTTGACACTGACAAGGATGAGGATGCCGAGCGCTGTGACTGCCGCTGCTGCTGCTCCTCGTCCTGGTCCTGTTACAGCTTCGCTGCGATAACCTTGCCGCGGTGGTGCTTTATCAAATTCTGGTCACCTTGGGCGGCATTTATAAAATGTGTATCCACTAACACACACACACATACACAGGCACACACAATTTTCTAAAGGGCATATGCGGGACCGCTTTGCATTAAAATTTCTTTCGTTGCTTTTTTATGTTGAATGCATTTCTCTGCGCCTGCGACAGCGACTGTGACTGCTCGGTGCCTGGGGGGGGGCAGGGTACGGGCTGGGAAAATGTGAACGCAAACGGGAATGGGAACGGGAAAGGGAACGGGAACGGGGCACAAGGGACAGAGGCATTTATTTTCGGCATTTGAAGTTGGTCCTTTGCAAACGGGGGTTCAAATTCAAAGCGCTAGACCGAACCGAACGAACGTGCGAAGGGTTGTTCGCTGTGTGTGTGTGTGCTTGCCTGTGTGTCTGTGTGCGTGTGTGTGTGTGTGTGTGTGTGTGTGCGCGGCAAGGAACACATTTGGATGCCAGACTGCGTCTCAGTTTCGACTCCCTGTGTGACATTATGCGCCGGCAGCAAACGCAAAGTGTAAGCAGCAAATCGATTTTGGAATTCGTCTCATGCGAATGTGTGGAAAATGCTGATAAATGGAGACGGCCGGAAAAGCGGACTGGACAAAGGCCTGGACCGGCAGCCCGAGCTGGTCATTGCCATGCTAATGAGGCCAGCCCAACTGCAACAGCAACAGCAACGGCAATTGCAACTGCAACTGGAACTGCAATGGAGCTGCCGGGAATCACACCCTTTTTATTTGTGACCGATAAGGCGGGTGCTCTCTCTAATGGCTGGGTTCTTTTTTTTTTCATCTATGTCGAGCCGATTGGTGGGTTTTGTTTACCCAATTTGACGCTCTGATAAGATAAGCAAAGCCGCTTTTACCCACACACACACAGACACACACACACACAAACGCGCGCAGGCGAATGCCCATGGCCAGCTCGTGACTCGGCGACTTCTTTGAGCGAGTTTTCAGTAAATTCAAAATTCATAGAATGCAAATGTTGGTTAAACAACATTTTCGCCAGGCACACGACGTCGCCAAAGACCACACAGAGCCGCAGCCAGGTCGCAGTTGGGCACAGCCAAGCCAAAAACAAAGCAACCCGAGGCAACTCTCTGAGAGCACCTCGTACGTGTTTGCTCAGCGGGGGGAACCCAGGGGGGGGACGAGGTTTCCATAGCTCTGAGTCGGGTTTTCTTCTTCCAGTTGTTGTTGTTGTTGTTGTTGTCGTTGTCGGAGTCGCAGCCCCGGCTGAGCCGCTGCCTGTGACTTGAATTTGTAACTGAAACTAGAGCTAAAAATTGTAAACAGCCCCCCGGACCATGGTTTGGGCTAAAATGCGCCAATCTTAACAGCAACTTTGACTGGCCCACGAGCATGGGCCACAGACTTGTTGTGTTAAATGGCGTTTCCATGGTTATACAAGATTCTTTTGCCGAAACTTCCTCGTAAGTTTATCCTCAATTTAGCTTGTGAGCTAATATATGAGGTAATATAAATATATCTTCTAATTGATACATGTGTGTACGTGTGTGTAAATGTGCAATAGTTACCCAAAAATTAACACACATACGTTTGATTATTTCAAAGTAGTTATTGTATCTATTATTGGTAGCAGGGAGACAGAGTTTTATATACAAATACACTTTCCTGAATGGACAAAGGAAAGCGGGTTGAAGTAAAAGCAGGCGAAAGACAGTGAACTACTTTAGAAAGAGAGAGAGGGAGGGAGGGAGAGAGAGATAAAGACTTCTTATTAAAAAGAATCAAAGCATGAAACCCTGCAGGTCTTACTTGCATATTTGAGAATCGCATAGTAGAGCGCTATCAAAAGATAGCTTCATAATTTGGATCGGAGCCGAAAATGAGCTTCGTTTGCATTTGCTATAACTGTAAAAATACATATATATGCACATATATGTACATACAAATACACAAACATACTTCCAGACTGTGCACATATTTGACTACATAGATACACACTCACCACATTCACACAAATTGTTAACACAAAGAAAAAACACTTTAAGCCCTACCTGAATTCATGAGAATCGCGTAGTAGGGCGAATATTTAAAAACAAGTTTTTGTTTAATTTACAGCGCAGCGCGGGGAATTCTCAAAAAAGTGACGTAAACTTGGTCTGCGTTTGGTATACGATAACATACGTACACACATACATATATAAATGCATGTATACATGCATAAGCAATACACACACAAAAATGAAAGTAAACTCGGTCTATATTGGATCTGTAGGGCGACAATATATCTTAATTGACGTATGAAATTCTACATTTAACTATCTTGCATTTAATGACTTTTAATACGGGAAATCTTAAAGTAACTCAAGGGCCAGCATTCAACTACTCAAAGAGAAGGAATTATACTTTCTGGAAATAAGTGTGTCTGCTTAAAGTAGATATCTGCAAAGGTATGTTGTTTATTCCTATAAAATGAATTGAATTATTTGTCTAAGACATAAGAATACAGAACGTCTTTCAGGTAGGATAAAAATCGAATTAACAATAGCTAGATGTTTTTTACTATCACGGAACTAGTTTCGGCAGGAGAGCTGTAAGCTGTAAAGGAGGAGTAATAGAAAAAGACTTAGGCCTAAGTAGATATACGAATACGTACTAAATATAAACACACAAATTTGGCTTTAATTTGTATATCTCCTAACTTAACTAACTAATAGATTGTAAGCTCTCCCCACCCTCCCGCTGTACTCCTTCATGACATAGCTGCAATTAAAGCTTTAGTTACAGCACTTAACTCAAGCTTTAAAGCTTGACTTTGGCTAACGGCTGAGAAGCTGCTTAAAGCTTGGCATTCAAAATGTGGCCAGGCCTGCAATTGATTGCACAGCATTAAGGCAACATTTCCAATTGGGTGGCTTTTCTGCATACATACAAACATGCAGCTTATACATACATATATGTATATGCATGGTATATGTGAGTACATACACGCATATAATCATGTGGAGCGCGCACACAAACACAAGCACATGTGTGCGTGGGCACGCATACGCACATTTAATGCAAATTTAAGCAGTTAGCAAGCAAGTAAAACCGTTATGTCTATGTGTTTGCCTATATATATATATAAATGTGTATGTGTGTGTGTATATATTGCTGCGCCGTTGCGGATACATAATGCAGGGCAATATAAATAATTGCAATACATATAAATTGCAGCTGTACGTGTGTGTGTGTGTGTGTGAGTGTGTTGCATAACCGCATTTGTCGTTTACATATGCTACAGATACATAGGCATATCCTTATGTAGTCGCCTATGTTAATATGCGTGTGTGTGTGTGTGTGCGTATTTAAATGTGCATCGATGCCTGCTGCATTGCATTGCAATTGCATTAGTGTGGCGTCCTTTTGTTCATTACACGCACAATGCTGGCATAAAATAAATCTACAGCAAAATACTCGAACGCATTTGTTAAATGAGACAAGCGGAGCAGAAGGAGGCGGACCAGGAGAAGCAGCGGGAGCGGGAGCAGGAGACAGTAGCTGCTGGAGAAGATGTTGGGGGTAGACTGGCGCTGACTGATGTTGCATGCGAAATCCGAAACTCAACTTGCCCCGTGGCGGCAGCATCTGCATTCCTTTGCAGCTCCTGCCGTTATATGTATATATTTATATATAAATTTATATCTATATACATTTTCAACCCCCCACGGGCTTAAAGAACTTAACCAGAGTTTTTGTTTATTTTAATTTTTACATATTGAATTTTATTTCAGTTTCTTCATGTTTTTCTATGTGTGTGTGTGTGTGTGTGTATGTGTTTGTGTGTGTATTCGCCTGAAACTACAACAAAAATATCAATAATTAAATGATATTAAACTTAATGCTAAACTTGGATACTCAAAGAAACGTCAGAGAGTTCAACATAGTTATATAATAATAATAATAATAATAATAATAAGATATTTCTGTCTTCAAATAAGGCCTTTATAAATATTGCATTTGGACTGAAATCAAAAAATAGGTTCAACAAAACTGACAGATCGGGGATTTGAGCTAAAATCGAAACAGCGCTGGAACTAGACTTAACATATAGCTACTATATAACATAGTTTATCATAGTTGTTTTTTCATTTTTGTTGTAATTCTTTTAGTTTGTCTTTGCTTAGTTAAAAATAAAATTACGTAATTCTTGTATTTTAGCATTTAATTTTTTGTTTTCGTTTATACATATATTTTATATCACAATAGAAAAAAGAATTAATTCACATATTCTTTTCAATCGTTATAGGTTTTTTTTTGTATGTTTTGTTTTTTAACTTTTTGCTTACTTATAAATTAAACAATAAAAAATTTACAGAATTTTCTTTAACGTTTCTTTTGTGTTGGTGTTTTTCTTTTCTTTTTTTTTTTGCTAGTAAACAAAGTTGTTGAGTTATTTGACTAATTGTTGCTTGACCAAGTTAATAACTAAAACTAAATGTAAATTTATTAAATTTTCGTTAAGTGTCTACTATTAACATGTTTTAAATTTAATCGCCAACTAAATTAAACGGCATAACTAACGACGCTGCACTAAACAAATTCGAAACAAAAGCAAACAAAACAAAAAATAAAGTTCAACACAAAGAATCTCGTTGGGCCAAATACACAAAACAAAAAAAATAGAAATAAAAAAAAACATTTCTAACAAAAGGCAGAGACAGAGAGCGCCAACAAAGAGCAAACTTTTTTTGTAGTCGTTGTCGTCGTCGTTGTTGTTGTTGCTGTTGTTGCTGCTGTTGCGGGCAAGCTTAAAGCGCTGCTCACGTCGCTGCTGGCGTCGCAGCTGCCGCCATTGCCGCGCCTGTTGTTGTTGTAGTGTTGGAGGACGCTGGCTTTTGTTGTTTCTGCTTCTACTTTTCGCTGTTGTTTCTGTTGTTGCCGAAGCGTGAATTAAAATAAACTATTTAAATTTATTTGCATCTGTTTAACTGCGGCCTGCATTATACACACACACACACCAAAGCGCACATTTATGCATATGCATACGTGTGTGTGCGCTGCGTTGCCCGCGCTCTTCTCCCTCTCTCTTTTACTCTTGCGCTATGCTTATCGCGCGTCTCCATCGCCATGCACTTTGTTGCTGCCGTCGGCCATAGCTGCAGCCGTGTTTTTTTTTCTCTCGTTTCTTTTTATCGCTGCCGCTGCGCTGCGTGCGTGTAAGCTGACGCGTCGCCCCCCTGCTAACCTATACCCCGTCAACGTAACGCACAGGCCCACAAGTGCGCCGCTGCCAGCCCCTTAGGAACCTGCGGCGGCAGCAACAACACACCAGACCAGAGCGAGCTTCAGCTCCATGACACCGTAGCCGTAGTCGTAGCAGTCGCAGTCGCTGTTGCTGTTGTGTGCCGTGCTTGTGTCTGCGTATGTACATGTATATGTGTGTTGTGTTCATTGTTTGCTTTTTGTTGTTGGCGTTTGTTGTTTTCTGCCTCTCTCTCTCGCTCTCCCCCCTCCTTCGTTGGCTCGCTCGCCTGTGCTCTGTCTCTGCTGTTGCTTTTGCTGTTTCGTTTTCTACTCGATTCGTACGAAAAAATTTAGTACAGCGTGTGGTATGGCAAACGAAAGCTATGAGTTTTCAGTGTATCTTGTTTTTTTTTTTACTTAGTTGTCTGCCCAACTCCGAGAGTATGCGAGTGTGTGTGTGTGTTAGTGTGTGTGCTGGTGTGTGTAATTACGTGCCTTGCCTTCACGTCAGACATGCAACACGGCACGCAGGTAGAAGGAGACGAGTAGGAAGACAAAGTCAAAAAGAAGTAGAAGACGCAGCTAAAGTCACAAAAGTCACACGCACACAGGCACACACACGCACACAGTCAGAGAGTGCGGCATCCTAAGCGTTAGCCTGCGCCGACTTCTCTGCCTCGGCGGCGGCACAGGCATTGCAGTCATGGTGAACGCATCATCTGACCAGCCAGAGGCCCAGATTGAGCTTCTGCAGCTTGGGCAGCTTCATGATGATGTCGATGCCCTTGGAGCTGAGCTGTGTGCAGCCATAGAGATCGATGGTCTTCAGATTGGACAGATCCTCGGCGAGCGTCTGCAGACCCTTGTCCGTGATGCGGCTGCACTGGCCAATGTTGAGATTCTCGAGCTCGTGCAGCGACTTGGCAATCTTCAGCATGCCCTGATCCGTTATCTGGCACTGGTTGAGGCTGAGCGAGCGCAGCCTGTACAGGCCCTGGGCGATGTGGGTGAGCGCCTGGTCGCTGATCTTGTCGCAGAAGCTCACGTCGAGGGAATTGATGCCGCTGCCGCCCTCCGTCAGGTAGGCCATGCCAATGTCGGAGATGTTGTCGCAGGAGCGCAGATTCAGCTGTTCCAGCTTGGGCATGCGCGCCAGATGCTTCAGTCCGCTGTCCGTCACCGACACGCAGAAGCTCAGATTGATGGACTTTAGTGAGGTTAGACCCTGTGCTATGTGACCCAGCGCCTCGTCGCTCAGCCGCTGGCAATCCTGCAGGCCCAGATACTCCAGCTGCAGATTGCCCTCGGCTGTCTCGCGGCTGAAGCCGGCCAGATGGCCGATGCCCTGGTCGCTGATGTGCCAGCAGGAGCGCAGATTCAAGTGGCGCAGCTTCTTGAGGCCCCACGCGATCAGGAGCAGGCCCGTGTTGGTTATGTTGCAGCAGCCGCCCAGCTCGAGCGTTTCCAGATTCTTCAGATGCTGCGCAATCCTGCCCAGACTGGTGTCCGTGATCTGTTTGCAGAGCGACAGGTCGAGCGTCTTCAGATTGGGCAAATCCACGCTGAACGCGTGTCCCAGATTCATGTCGGCCACATTGAAGCAACCGCTGAGATTCAACGATGTCAGCGCCGGCACGCCCAGCACTAGATCCTTCAGAGATCGTCGCAGGGAGAGGATCTGCACCTTCTTGATGCCGCGTCGCACCAGGCAATTGAATAGACTCGGACTGGAGCGCTTCAGATGCAGCTTGGCCTCGACACCCTTCCACACGCTCTTCGCATAGGCTGCATCCCGCCAGGCGGTGCACACCTGTGCCGCACGCCCCAAGTCCCGCACCGGCAGATGCTCAAAGATCTGCTCGAGCAGCTCCGGGAACAGATTGCTGATGTGTGTCCCCTCCACGGGCGGCGGGCTCTCCGGCGAGGCGGCTCTGTGCTGATGATGGTGATGGTGATGATGATGATGCTGGGCATGTGCCGCTGCAGCGGCCGCTGCTGCCGCCGCCGCCGCGGCTGCCGCATGTTGCAAATAGAGCGCAGGTGGCAGAGTTTGCAGCTGTGGCCGATGGTGCAGCGCGTAGGGCGTGAAGCGCAGCAGGTGGTGGGCGTTGCGTGTCAAGCCGGGCAGCTCAGTCTGTTGATACAGTTCGTCCATATTCCAACCGGCCGCCGAGCCGGCTGCCATGCCGCCAGCTGCAGCCCCACCGCCGCCGCCGCCACCACCTCCGACGCCACCGCCATGATAGTTGGTCAGGGCGGCGGCTGTCTGCAGCGAGATTGTGGTCTGATGATGGAAGGGCAGCAGCTCTGTGTTGGTGGCCATTCTATGTGGCAGCTTCTACTCAAGCTTGCAACGAGTTCCTCGACTCGTCGTTGTTTTTGTTTTTATTGTTGCTTTTACTTGTATTCACTCTTGAGATACTTTACGCTTTAGATACTTGATGTACGTCGCATTTTACGCTTGCTGCGACTTGTTCTTTATATGGATGCACTGGAGGACTAGATGAGCACTGCACAAATACGTATTCGGATGCACTTGCTTGGAGCCAGTTGTTTAGTCCAGATGAACGGCTTTTATCTCTATTATTCACTGGCGAACGAGCGTTAAACGAGCTTCAAGTGAAGACAAAAACCGGACCACGACAATTGAGTTCCGCAGCGACGTCCGAACGGTTCGATGGCGAGTAACAGAATGAGCCACAGTGCGACAAGGCGACAGAATAAATGAGCGGTCGCACACACACACACACGCGCCACCAACACAAATGCATGTGCGCTGAGCGCGACAGCAATGGCAGGCAGCTAAATTCAGCAATAGGCAAGCAGGTACTGTCGCTCTCTTGCGCGCTCGCTCTCTCTCAATTAGTGCTGCGCGTTGCGTTATCTTTGGCTGGTTTATGGCTAGATTCTTTATAGCCCGACTTTTTAGATGATTTCTACATTTGATTACTTATTTTTGCTTTTTTTAAATGTATATAAATAAGTTTTTGCTTAAGGAAATGTTTAAACAATATTGGGCCTTATATTTTCTATATTTTTGAAATTAAATAAACTACATTCTGCAATGCAAATAGAAGAAAAACTTGCAGCTATATTTGTAAACACTTTCGAGGCAGACAGCTCCCACAATATATACAAATTTATGTATTCAATTAAATTTAAATGCAACATAAATTTGGTTTCTTCTTCTTGCTATTTATTTATCTATAAGAAAGAAAAGAAAACTAGAAAATCTTTGTGATTTATGCTAAATATTAGTGAATTCTCTTAACGAATAAAATGTTTATATTTATTATTTATATTTTTTTAAGCGTTGGGAAAGCAAAGAAACCGGAAAAATGTGTGGATTATGCAAAACAGCCGAAAAATCTATTAGTGAAAAAATGAAAAATATAATATAAAAAAATGTTTTAAATATAAGAACAATCTCTATCAGGAGTTATACTGACTGTAGGGTATTTTTATATATCAAAATAACGTAGTTTAACGTTATCCTACATTTAAATGTTGATGTCCATATAAAAAATGAGTTGTACAGTTCTTAAGGAAGCATTTTCCTCCGCAGACTTGGCTAAGATTTCATTGTGTTCATGTTCTATAACAGCTTTGGGCCAAAACTCCGACGCATTTGTTGCTGCAGCAATGCATTCCAGGCACGATCATGTGAGCAGGTACCTGTCTTGCCATGCCCCTCTATCTTTATCTGTGCCCAACTGCCAGTGTGTGTGTGTATCTGTGATCGTTTCATGTTGGTGCTTGTCGCTACCTGCCGACTGCGACTGCGACGCACAACAATCCCGGTTTCCAAGAAAATATTAACGATATCTCCCAAAACGTTGCCGCACACAAATCCAAAGGCAGCTCGAGTTGCAGAGCTGAGACCCGCTGGGAAGCACAAAAGCCGAGCCACAATAGCGGGCCACGCATTGTTATTGATACTAGGAAAGCAATGCACACACACACACATGCACACGCACACACGCACATGTGTTGGGTAAAAATTGTGAATCCAGACGGACCCTTAAAAAGGCAAGGAAAACGCCGCCGTCTCTAAAAAAGAAAAGAAAAAAGGGACCAGGCATCGGGAATTGAGAAAATCTGCGTCGCTACCTGCCCGGGGAAAAACACGGACGGACGGACACCCGCATACGAACGCACCCTCGAGATCGTTTCGGGTTGGGGGCAAACGGTAAAAAGAAAATGCCTACGCTGATTTCTCATGCCCATTGTCTAGACTCCGGACCCGAGACTCGAGACTCTAGAGGCCGAGGGACTCGTACAGTCAGCCATCCAGATTATCCTTGCCGAGAGCGAGAGCGAGAACAAGGCGTGCGGCCGGAGTTGCTTTCTCTCAGTTTCTCTCTCACGCTCTCCTCTGCTTAGCTGCTACCTGTCAAACCGGTTGGCCTAAAGGGCCAGGGCCAGGGCCAGGGCCAATCTCGGGACAGGCACGGGGACGCGGTCGTGTCAAGGCGTCGCTGGCAACGAAAAAATAATCTGTTCGCTGGAACTTGGAAAGAAATATATAGTGCGGCAGATAATAATCGATTGGTTTTTGGCTGCCTTTCGCACACACTGTGATCATCATTAGCTGCACCAGGTAGGCAGCAGCAGAAGAAGAAGCAGCACCAGCAGCAGCATCTTTGTGTTACTGCGGAAGAGGTGCAACACGCAATAGAGACAAGCATCCAATACAGCTGTGGGCGAGGTGCCCAGAGGGGAGCCCACGCAACAAGTGCAAATCAGGCGACCGCGACCCCATTGCCAGCTCTCTTCGCGGCGAGCCCAATAACTGGAAACCACAAGATACAATATACAAGATACACACACGCACACATATATATGTACATCAGTATGTATCTGCATAAATACCTGTACTTGTCACGTACATACTTACACACAGTTTATTATATATGCGAGGCTGGGCATATGCGTGATTACACACTGAAAATTGCTTTATTGGCTCTAAAGACTGTTCTTGATTTATGGGCGGTATTTTTGGACCTTCCTGGTACTTTTTGCAGCTGGACAAGATTTGCACATCATATACCCAAGAAAGATTTTCAAAAGATATCAAGAACTTCAGAATAGAATTAGGCAGTAAAAACGTTTGGCTGTATAATACAACTGAAAGATAACTTAGAATATTGTTCAAGAAGGATCAAACATTTATAGAGAATCCTAAAGTTAAATCCAATATGGTATTTTATAAGACTTGACTAGACGCTATGGACCACATAATTTGCATAATATATATATATATATGTGCATAATATCTTCAAGTATGACAGACCACAAATCAGATATTCGTTTAGAGATAGTAAATTTCTTGGATATCTTCTGATCTAGCTAAGGTTTAAGGGGCATCCTCTTATAAAATATATTCAGACAATCCTAAAATTATTTCAGCTAACAAAATGTTAAGTGACAAAGATCAAAAGATCAAATCAAATCTTATGTTATCTTTTGATCTAACTAAAGGCCTAAAATATATTCAGAAGATCTTCAGACTCTCTCTGCAGATATCTAACATTTGATTATACAATTTAGATTTGCTGTACAAAGTATCTTTTGCCCCTTTATGTAATTACAGAGTGCATAATAAAACGATTTTGTATAATAAAATTTATATATAAATTGATTAATTGCGTTTCCAGTTGATCCAGTTTTAGAAGTACACGCAAATTAACCCAACAAGTACTGCGGGATTGTCAAACAAAGATGCCGCTATTTATTTTTTGAATTTGTTGTAATCGAAATCTGGCTTCAATTTGTATTCGGTTAGCCCGCATGCCGCAGTGAATACGCCCAGCTCGAAGGGTTAGACGAGTTTGATAACAAATTGTGGGACCGACAGCGGCGTCTCACAATGACTGTGACGGATCGCATCAAGACTGGAGATGATGGTTCTTAGCATATGTCGAGGGAATCCAAACTATTCTTTCTGTTAAAGCAGGAAGGGATTTCAGGGCTTTCGGCATTATCAATCACACATTAAACTATCTTTTCAAGTTGGGTTCCAGTTTAGGAAGCCTTCGATACTTTTGCAATACTCTAGCACAATTGAGAGTAAGCTGTATTAGAGCTCAATTGGACACTTGTCCGGTTTTTGGAACCACTTGGTAATCTCTGGGCTATGCGGAAAAACTGAAAACTGAAACCACGTTGTGGCTGGCAGCCAGCACTTGGCTCAAGTGCCAAGTTCCGCAGCTCGGTGGCGTTTCTGGTGAAAACAGGCGTTGCTCTAGGGATTGCGATGGTAAGAGATGGATGCACAACTGACAAAACATTAGTGGAAAAACTCCTGCTGCGAAAACTTAACAGTTCTTCAGATCTATCAGATACAAATTGAGGAACGGAACAATTTTAATAAGTGTGTAAAAGAAGTTTTCTAAAGTGAGTTAGAACTAAAAATAAACCAAATGAACTACGAGAATCCTAAAGGAATAATAGGAAGAGTTTCAAACGGGGATAAAAGCAACAAGAAGATGACATACGGGAAACATAAATGTAGAAAAAGATCAATTATCTTAACATGGAAAAAATAACCCCAAAAAGAGAAGAAGTTAAAGAATTCTGAAGGAAGATATGCTGATAAATGGGGTTAAAAGCAACCGGAAGATGGAATATGGGAATGATAAAATGTAATCAAATTATATTTGAATTTTCTCAAAATGGAAAAAAGAGCCCTAACTGGAGGAGATGAAGAAGTGAATGGCATAAAATATACAAGTTGGCTGTCTTAACCGAAATATAATCATATTCATACACTTAGTAAATAGTCTTAATGTTTTCCACATATATGTAAAATGTTCCTTTATTGTTTATGTAATTTAAATGCTATATGTGTGTATATATATATATTTGTTATATTATGTATGGTAAGTAGATTTATGTCAGTTTTTCTTATTCGTTTTTCGTGTTTGAAAAGTTTCGTTTACATATGGCATACTATTATGCACTAAAAATTAATGTTGATTTTAGTTTTAAATCTTAAAATTCGTTTACGCTATGACTTTAAAATACTCGTATGTACGTAGTTAATAACTAGTTGCTAATTAATTAAAACCCAAGAACCCAACTAGGCTTCATTATGCTACGGAAGTGTAGTTCAACTCAAGCTAGTTGGCTTTCAATAATATAATAGTAGTTTATGTATGTATGGCAGGGGGGCATAAATATGTTATGTTGTGTTGTGTAGTGTAGTGTTTATGACGCTATATAGTGTATATTTACATGCATGAGCACCTCAACGAACTAGGGATATAAGTAGGGTGCACGCAAGGAAGTGGCTTGTGTGTATATGCTAAAGCATTCTTTTGATTTTTCATAGTTTGATACATGCGCGTTTCTATGTGCTATATGCTAATTATTATTTTGTATTATTATTATTTTAAATATTATTTGTGTGTATTTAAGTTGTTCATTTCGTTGAATTAAGTCCAAATGGTTATACTATTAATCAATGGAGCCGCACACTTTATTTGTCTGAACGTTTCGGGTACTTAAGAATCCAAACATGATTCGAAAATTTTGAGAAGTGTGCGACTTCTTCGGCTGGCCGAAGCAGCGCGTTTCACTGGGCTCTTTTTTTATTTTATTTGGGATGATGATATATTTTGCATTTCTAATGTCGTACGTGCCTAAGTTCTAAATTATGCTATGTTTGCTCTTAAAACACCCAAAAATTTCATGTCTGTGTGCGGTTTTTGTTGCTTGAAAAAAAAAAAAACAAATGTGAGAAAAAAGTAAACCAAACTAAGAACAAAAAAAATTAAAAATTAATAATATTAAAATACTTTAATGGGGTTATATATATCACAGGTACATTTTAGACTTTTTTCAAATGCAAGCTTGTAAAAATGTATGTACGTTATGGAGAGCCCCCACACAAAGGCGAACGGCCGGAGGGTGAAAGGGGTCTAAACAGGTTAAAGATCGGACAGTGTCTTGTTTGTATGTATGTATGTATATGTGTGTGTGAGTGTGTGTGTGGAGGTTGTCTTCGATGGCACCGAAGTGTTGGCTTTAGCTATTTATGTATATGCTGCCTATTAAGCATAATAAGTAGTAATTAGAGTTTAAGTTTTACTAAGCACTAGGTCAAGTCGTTATTATTTGAAGTATTTCTTTGTTTTTTGTTTTTTTTTTAGTTTTCAGTTTTATAGAAAAGCACTAACCATTAAACATTGCAACTGCCGTTCATTGTTCTCAATCTAAACGTCGTCTTCGTAATTTCCTTCTCTATATAGTATGTAAATGCAAAATCAGGGAACATAGTTGATAAACGCTCGATTGTGATCGTAGATATGAAAGAGTTTTGTGAGTACATGTTACTAACGTTAATTCAAGCCTATGACTAGGGGCCAGCCAACTCTAACTGTATACATATTGTTTATATCTAACTAGTTCTGGATTTATCAAAAGTGTTATTTATGGTACTTGCTATGGCCTGACTGTTATTATTCTTTTTTGAGTACGTATTTCGTGTTTAGCAATTTATCGAGTTGTTTTCCTTTTCCTTTTCTCTTTGTTTTTCGGAAGCATATCATACAGCATTCACTTCTTAAGTACATTATTTAGGGATCTCTCTTTCGCTCGGTGCAGGTTTTTATTGAGTGTTTTTCTGTAATATCTAAAATTCGTATTTTGCTTAAGGCCCGCACAAAGTACCAATTAGTTAAGATCATAATTCGAGCTGTGCACCTTGATTGTAGTTTAAGTAGTTCTACTTCTTGTTCTGCTTTTTTGTGAGTGTATGTACGTATTCGGTTTCGTAAGATTTTGCGTATTATATGTTTGGGGGGCGCGGGCGCAGCACAGTTCTAGTTATATAAAATGCTGTATAGTATCGTGTGCTAGGATCGATATGAATGAAATTTTGGACTAGATGCTATATTAATACTACGCAAGACCCAATCCCCATCGGACCTTTATGTAAATACGCTAGCCAACCAGTTTAAGTATTTTTAGCAGTCATGAGGCGTGGAGCCGGTCCCATGGGATCCCCAGCCTCGGCGTACAGGCAGGAGCCCTCGCTGCAGGAGCAGGTGTCGCCCTCGCGTGAGCTGTTGCAGCAGTCGCTCGTATAAGTGCGTTGATGCAGCTCATAGCCCGACAGCATGTTCTCGTTCTCACTCTCCGCGCAGGAGTTCTGTTGCTGCTGTTGCTGCTGGGCAAGATGTGCAGCTTGTCGACGCTGGCCGGATCGCTTGCTGCTGCTGTGCTCGGCCCTGCTGTCGGAATGAAGTTGCTGCTGCTGTTGCTGGTGTCGCTTGCTGTGGCCATGTGAGGCTCGCGAGTTGTCCGAGCACTCAGAGGAGCATTGATAGATTTGGTGACTGGAGGCTGTGGGCTGCATCTGACTGCCATGGGGATGCACCGGCTGGTACCAGCCCTCCGCTGGCGGCGGCAGCGGCGGTGGCTGCATGGGCGAGGCCAGAGCGTCGCAGCTATTGCAGGCTCTGTTGTTGTTGGCGCAGCGCGTCGCATTCAAGCCGGCCTGGTACTCGCTGACGGCATGTCGCTGTGTGGGATAGTGGATATGTATGTTGCGGGAAGCCATGTCGCCGGCGCCATTGGTGCCAAAACAGGGCGGATATGGCGGCGGATGCTGGTTGGTGGGCGTAATCTGGTAGCGATTTTGTGTGCCGCCCATAGCACTCAGCGGATTGCTGTACAGATCCTCCTGGGGACAGGCGCCGACGGCGCACTGCGGCGAAACGCCCCAGGCAGAGAAGCCACCCGACGAGCTGCTGTGTATAGAGGCATTTAAAATGCTGATAGAGCAGTGGGGAGGGGTTTGAATGGTCCTTCCATTTGTTGCTTGCAGTTATGAAACTCACCTTTGATTGGTGGAAATGCCCGAACCGGCGCTTTTAGAGCTCTTGCGCGAGGATTCAGGCGAGCCCTGCGCATAACCATAGTTGGAGGACAGCGGCGGCGGATGTTCCGGCGGTGGTGGCAAGAACTCTGACCAATTAATCGATTCTGTAGGATATTGCAAATAGTTCGACTTGTTGCTAGCAGCAGCCGCAGCAGCAGCTGCAGCGCTCTGTGCCGTGAATGCATCCGAGTAGGGTGAATGTGTGCCCGAATCCTTGTCAGCGCTTAGCGAGGTGGTTTTGGTGCAGGTTTCGCTGGAAGAGGTGCCCACGATCATGGTCGTGGCATAGGGTGTAGGATTATCGGGACTCTAAGGAAGAACAAGCTGATTAGCTAGAGTATATGTTGTGGCAGCAGCTCTAACGCACCTTGCGACAGTTGTAGAACGTGGTCAGGTTGCGTGTGTCCACTTCGGCATAATCGGTGCCGCCATCCGAGTTATTGTAGTTGGACTGGCTGCTGTTGACATGGGACAGTAGTTTTGATTCGCTCAGACCCGAGTCCTTGTCCGTGTCCGTCGTGCGCCAGCCGCGATCTATCCACAGACTCTCCTTGCTGTTGATGTTCAGTGCGGTTATCTCATTGGCGCTTACCACTGGCCAAAGAAGAGAAGGGTCAGTTATATATAGGAGACCATGTTAATTGCTTGACTTACCGCTCAGATGACCAAGGTCTTTGGTCATTTGATGCCGCCGCTTAAAGTAAACCATGGCTGTTGCTGTGGACACCACCACAACGAGAAGTATAATGATGACCAGCACCATTACCCAGGTGCCTTGGGGAAATGCTGTGTTTTTGCGATGTGTCGTAGGATTGGCGTTATTAGGCTCCGTATTGACCATGCCATTGGTGTGGTAAGTAAAATCGTTGCCAGACTCATGACGGCCATCGTGTGTGCCACTGGGATGGGCACGCGGTGGATGCACATGATAAGTAGGATCCATATACAAAGATTTCTAAAAGGAGCACAACATATAGCAAGAGCCAACATTAGAGGCAACAAAGTCCACACTTACAGGCTTTGAGTAAGGTCCATCGCCGGCCTTGGTAAACGCATTGAGTCGCACGCTATAAACGGCCGTTGTGGTAAGATTGTTGAGTAGCACCGATGTGGTCGTCGCATTCAACGTCATGTTGGCCAACACTTTCATGGTGTTGCCAGCGCTAACCTCAATCTTGTAGCCATACAGATTGCCGTTGTGGTGCTGTGCTGGCGGCGGCGTCCACCGCACCCAGCCAGCAGTCAAATTGTACATGCCAATTTGTATATTATCCGGCGGTGCGGAGGGCACTAAACAATCTCAGATTGAACGAAGGCATAATCAAAAGGAATATTGCTAATGCTTACCATCCTCAAAGGTTGTGACCAGTTTCGAGTTGCTTGGCTGGCCCTCGATGGTTTCGAAGAAGGGCGTCAGAAAGAATTCGTACTTCGTATATTTTCGCAAATTGGCCACCACATGGGACTCCGCTCCGGCATCAAGCACTGTGATGACATTGTATTGCGTCAAGTGGGAGCTAGCATCCCGATAGCGAATGTGCAGACCCTGGGGAATAGATAAAGATTAGTTGATGAAGTTTTGATTTTAATAGGGATTACAACTTACCTCAACAAATTTCTCATTGGCGCTCACATGAAGCATCCAATCCAAGCGCACGGCGCTGGCATTTACAGCGGACGCATCGATAAGCTCCACGACCTGTACATAAATATAATCATAAGTATATAATTGAATTTGATCAGATTGTGTTCTCCTTACTTTGCCCGTCAGCAGCGTGCGCGCTGCAGACAACTCGTTGGACGGCGTCACATCAAAGTCCTCGCCCAAGGTTTTTATAGCATTCGATAGGCCTGAAGGCACGGACACACCCTGTGAATTTTCTGCCCGCACCAGAAACACATACGCTGTGGCAGATGTCAGGTCTGAGATCTGTTGAGAACGCACATAAGAAATATTAGGCAAATCGTAGGCATGACAATAAGAGAGGGCCTACTCACCGTTACTTGGGTGTCGGGCACACGATGAGCGGCTACGATCCAACCCGTCTGCAGATCGGGACTAAAGTACTCCACAGCATATCTGCAAATAATATATGATTTAATTTTAATGATATATTTAATAATAAAAAGAATATCATTTTTAAATTAACTATTTATCGAAAAAAGTCAAAACATTTAATTAATCTTGCTCTTAACTAATTATTCATATTTTCTTTCAAGCTTATTAGCTTGATTTTGAGAAATTTTCGATTACAGCAACTATTACTTGTCTTATCACAACATTATTTCGCTTACCCTACGATAGGTCCAACGGCGCCTGGCTTCTCTTGGCTCTTGGCCCAGCGCAGCGAGATGCTGGTGCGTGTGACATTGATCACTTTTGGCGTGCCTGGAGGTGCGGGATAGGTGCTGGGATCTGCTATACGATGCAGCGTTGCAGAGCTACTCTTCTCCACCTGTTTGAAAGCAAATTTTATTAGTGAACAGACTAGAGAAATTTTAATTAAGCTGTAGTTTTACCGTCAGGGTAGCAGACCAAGAGGATTCACCGCGTTCCGAGGTGGCAGTGCATGTATATAGACCAGAATCGCTTAGCTGAAGGTCTGTAATTGTGAGAACAAGGTTTATAATCTATATTTATAAAAATAAATTCGTTAGGCAATACCATCCACTCTGAGGGAGCTGCCCTGCACGATGCTGTGGCGATTGCTCGTCTGCACCGCATAGCCGTCGTGAAACCATTTAACACGTGGCGTAGGATTTCCCGTGGCTCGGCAGGGCATTGTGGCCACTGAGCCCTTGGGCAGTGTTTGATTTGTGGGTCCAATTTGAATGATGGGTGGTGGGCGCTCGTCCACCGTGCTGACCTGCAGAAAGATGCGCACAGTGGAAGAGTCAACCACACTGAAAGCGGAGCACACATAGAAGCCCTCGTCATCCTGCTGCACATCACTGATCTGCAGCGTGCCCTCCGCTGTAATGTGTTGACGTCCATGGGTGCTGTTTGGGAACATAAGCGTGGACAAGCCCTCCTTGGTCCAGAACACAGATGGTGGCGGGTTGCCAGTGGCCACGCAAGGCAGCTGCACTTGGCCATTGAGACCGACTTTCTTATTTGTGGGCTTCTTCGAAAAATTTGGTGGCGCTGTATAAGAAAACATAAAATTAGGCGGAGGACTAGAGGGAATACTTGGCTAAGGAACGTACCATGCACGGTGAGCGTTGCTCTGGCGCTGATCTGCCCCACATTGTTGTGCGCCTCACAGACATAGGTGCCTTCATCGTTGGGCGTTATGTTGCTCAACTCGAGGCTCTTCTCGTCGTGCAGAATACGCGCACGGGATACTGGTATGTTGCCCTCCTCCTTCTTCCAGAGCACCTTCGGTGGCGGATCACCACCAACAGAGCAATGGAACGTAGCTGTTTGGCCATAGACCATAGTCAAATCCTTGGGTTCTTTCATGAAGAACGGCTTGATCTGTACAATCAGCTTGGCATAGCTGGATTCGCGCGAGCCCAACAGATTCTGGGCAATGCACCTGTAGTTGCCCTCATCGATTGGCTCCACATTGCTGATCAGCAAATTGCCGCCATCCACAATGCGCACACGAGAGCTGGTGCCAAAAGGTTTCGAGCTCAGGTCATCGAGCGGCACGCCATTCTAAAAACAAAATAAATGAAAAGCCAGACAGTTTGAATTTGGCATAAGTGTTGCTTAAGATTTGCGTTAGCTTGCCTTCATCCAGATAATGGTCGGCTCTGGTATGCCTTTGGGCGGCCCACACTCGAGCAGCGCCGTTTCGCCTTTGGCCACGCGCGTGTCTTTCGGCTCCACGCGAAAATCGTCGCGCAAAACTGCAAAGACAGCAACAAGGTGTCAAACATGGTACCAAAACATTCGCAAGTGTGGGTTAACAAGTTGTGCTGCCTGTGCCTGTGGTGCTTACCAGCTATTTGGAGCGAGGCATGCCGACTGACGGCTTTGCCCACGTGGTTTTTGGCCACACACCAGTATTCGCCGCCGTCCTGCTCCTTCTTGCTCTGCATGGTGCGGTAGAAGAATAGGGCGCCATCCTTGAACAGCACACGATGCGATTTCTTCTCATTGGTATTGACTGGTTCGCCATCCTGCACATCAGAGATCAATTTATATATGGAAAACTGTTCAGTATTCTCTCCCTACATACCTTATACCACTCGATGGTGGGCTCCGGCTTGCCCTCCACCTTGCAATTGAGTGTTGCGGGCTCATTTTTCTTTACTACCAGATCCGTGGGATGCTCGATGATGCGAGGCGATTGATATTGCGCTGGGGAAGACAACAAACTGGGATCTAGACTTATGCTTGGATGGATGGAGCGGATGGCTTTACCTTTGGCGGCTGGCAGCGCGACCAGGATGAGGGCCAGCAGCAGCAGTAGAAGCTGCCGGGGCATATTTTTTATGTTTGATGCTGGATGAAAGTTAGTGCTCCAGATGTATCGATGTCGATGTGGTGGATATATATACATATGCATATGTATATTATATAAATATAAATATATTTATATGGATAATATTATATTGCGCAGTTGTGAGTGGTGGCAATCATTGTTTTTTTTTTTTATTTAGCGTTTGTCTTGGCTAATGGCACAAATGAAAATGGCAAAGAATGTGGCAGCTGTTAGTCAATAAGAATCACAAATGAAGTGCACACTCGCACACACACACACACACACTCACACATATATATATTCTTACATATATGTATATGGCGGGGGAGGTGTGGCAGTATTTGAATACAAAGACTTGGTCTTGTGGCAGGCGCATTTACAAACCTTTTATTGGGCCCGTTCTGATTTCCGCGTTTGATTTCTTTCTTTTTATCTTCAGGCCTGCATTGAACACATTTCGGAAAATTATTCTACGCCTGCTCCAGTTACATTTCCATGCAGGCAGCTCTAGCTGCAGGCGCCTAGACAGACCCAAATCGAAGGCGACAATGACGACATATGCATATAGATAAGCACTGCACAGCACAGCACAGCACAGCAGAGCACTCAGCGCGCAACACCAATAAAATTATATATACTTATTTGTGTCTATGCTTTTCCATTAATTTGGTTTTTTTTTTTTATTTCTGTATTTATCTCTCTTTATGTTTATCTCGCGTCGCCCAACAAGAACGAACGAGCGCCTACGGCGACGGCGTGGCCCAAAAAGAAAAAAATTTACAATCCAAATGCAGCGCAACGCAGAGCAGAGTTTTGATTTTGATGGGTTTTTCGTTTTTTCGAGTTTCTCACACTTTCTATCCACAGATTTCGTATCTATTTATTTTCGATGTTTTTATTAATCACAAAATAAAGTTAAATCGAAGCTAAAAGACTACAGCGTTTGTCTTCTCTCCTTTTTGCTTGTTGTTTTTGCCTCCTTTTAGTCTTATGTACATAATTCGTTTGCGTTTTCGGGGTTGTTTCTCATTCTCAGCCTCATTTCCGCATTTTCCGAATGAAATTTCTTTTTGGTAATTTTACAAGAGCAAGAATATGCTCCTGCTGTTCAGCGTTCACCGTTCCCGTGCCCGTTGCCGTTCCAACTGTCAGCCTGCTGCTGCTGCTGGCTTGTTGTTGTATCTATAACAGTGCGTAGCGTACGTACAAATATACACACTCACAAGAGCAACACACACTCACGCACACTTTGAATTCGGTTTCGGTAGATACACAGATGTAAAAAACACATCCGATTTTTACACCCCAAATGCGGGCTTGATTGCGACTTTAATTCACTTGTCCATTGATATTAATTTGTGCGCTGAATTAAGCAGCAGCTGCAGCAAACTTTTATTAATTAAACTTAAACTATTCTTTGTGTTTAATTTGATTTCTGTGTAAACGACTATTGGACATGGGTTGTGTCTGTGGAAAACTGCGGAACAATGTGGATGTGAAACGTGTATGCGAGCCACAACGAAAAATATACTAGAAAAATACCCTGCGAACAATATTTAACTATCTGGCAGCCTTCCTGGTGTTGCCAGCCTGCGTCGTCTGGCGCCATATCCAATGAAAGGCGCTTCAAATTTAAATAGAATTTCCGTTATGTTTTATTGTATTGTCCCAGTCTATTACAAAAGTTTTGGTAAGTTTAAGCTTTCAGCGGATTTCTCGAGGTAACGCGCAGACTTTGGAAGCGCACTCTCCCGTTTTGAAATTCATCGCTCGTATTATCCTGTTGCAGCTCTGACGGAATATGCGGGCTGGTTATTTGGGCATCGAGTTTCCGTTCCCTATCGCCTGTGTTTAACCCGATGCATTCCGAGCAAAGAATTCGCTTCCTATAACCAATGCGACACGGTTTAAAGTCGAAACAATCCCCGAGCGGCATGCTCAGATAATCGACCATTGTTTTGGGTTTCTTGTTGGTATTTTTCTTCAGGTTGCAAGTTAATTTGAGCCAGGTCATGTCGTTGTTGCGTTGTCGCGATATTATTGCCCTTCGTATATCTACGAGCTGATCTCTGCCGGATTCCAAAAGTTTTGTGTACAGCTTTCGGCAGCAGGCAGCAAGATTAGCTTGGGCATGACTATATCCATTGGATATGGAATCTCTTACGGGCACCCTTCCAAAAGCGGGCGGTGGGCAGCGACTTAGCACAAAGCGTTTGATAATATTCCGGGAACGGAGCATTTTAGTGTATTACATAAATCTGGAAATTTAGTAATGTTAGGCCTAGACGGAATTTTTAGAAACTGGCCGAAATGTAAAATTTATAAGTGCCTTTTCACATCAATTTTAGCCAACTGAGGCTTGCCTCTGAGCAAGTTACGAGATCGAATAGTGTTCGAGATGCCTGCTTCACAAGTGGGCACATAACTGCCTGGTGGACGCGGCAGCGGTCGTCGCCCGCCCGCTGCTGCCATCGCGCTCTTGACCTGCTTGGGCTGCAGGCGCAGCTGGGTTACACGATCGACGGACATGCTCTTGGGCCGCTTGGACAGATAGTCGTGTATGTGGCTGTTGGAGCCGTTGCTAATGTTCAGGTTGATGAGATACTCTTGCAGCTCTGCCTTGAGTCCTGCATTGGCTGCCTCCAGATTGCGTTTTTGCTGCTTAAGGCAGGCCACGTCGACGGACACGTTGTTGACGCGTCGCCAAAAGGTTTCCATTTGCGGCAAGGCGGCAACTTCCTCCTAAATTGGAAATTCGTAACTGCTCTGACTACTCTGCCAAAGTTCCGCTTACCTTGAGAGGATCGCTGACTGCATCCTCCACTGGCGTTTTCAGCTCGCGTATCTCAATTATCTCACGGGACAGCTGCGGCAGTAGAAACAGCTTTTCCCGCTGGGTCTCCATTTTGGCGCAGATGCGCGACAGCTGCGACAACGTATCGACCTTGGTTAGGTGGCACTTGAGTGTCTGAAATGGTTATCAGTAAGGGTTATTTCATGTTGTAGATCAGTCAGGCACCCACCTCAATGGCCTCGTAGCTCTCCACGGTCATTTGCTTGAACAGCTTGTGCTCGGTTTCCAGCTCCTTGTCGACGCAAGTCCGCAGCTCGCGCAGGCGCTCCGTAAGCTCTTGCTTGATGCTCTGCCTCAGCTTCAGCTGTGCCTGCTGCTTGATTTGCTGCTCCTCGGCGAGCAGACGCAGATTGGACAGCTGCTCAATCAGATGCTCAATCTCGTAATGCTGCTGGCTGATCTGTTGAGCGCTCTCTTCGTCCCGTTGCTTCAGATCCACATACTCCGAGTAGAAGCCTTCGATGTGCTTGCCATAGCCGGCCAGCACAGATTGATACTCCTGCCACAGCGCCTCAAGCTTGCCCTCGCCCCTGCCCGTGATGTTCTCGAGTTCCAATTGCATCTGAGAATTGGCGTTGAAAGTGGAATTAGTTGAATTGCAGTCAACGTCAATGTCTCCATTGTGTGTCAGTCAAGCGGGTGGCTATTAGGGCGTCAGTGTCAAATGCCTCTGGCTATAAATGTCGCGTGGAGTCATGAGCCGCTCAACAGTGCTTCAAATGCGTCTACTGGTGTTCCTCTTACTCGGCTTTTGCTGCGGCATACACAGCCTCAAGTGCCGCTCCCAGGATGGCGCCGGCGATTCGGAGCTGAAACGGATTGTGCGCAGCTGCATGCAGCGCAGCGGCAGCGGGAGCAACCAGGAGGAGAACGACAGACGCTACGGCAATGGCCGATACAATTTTGACAACTCGTACAATAGTCAGGACTATGGCCAGGGGCAAGGTCAGGGACAAGGCCAAGGTCAGCGACAGCAGCAGCAGCAGCAGCCCTATGGCAATCGCTGGCAGCGCAGCGTGAAGCAAACGGACAACAACAACAAGGTGAGCCACACGGGTGACATGGGGGGCGCCTGTGTGGCACAGTGCTTCTTCGAGGAGATGAACATGGTAGGTCAGCCGCAGGCAAAAGGCGCCTCCACACTAACAGCTAAGCCCTGTTCTTGCAGGTGGATGGCAACGGGCAGCCGGATCGTCGCAAGGTCAGCTATTTGCTGACCAAAGATCTAAGGGATCGCGAGCTGCGCAACTTCTACATGGACACGGTGCAGCAATGCTTTCGCTATCTGGAACACTCCCGCTACAACAACAATAACAACAACAACAACAACAACAACAAGTGCAGCCAGTCGCGTGAGCTTATCAAATGCATGTCGGAGTATGCGAAGGCGCAGTGCGACGATTGGGAGGAGCATGGGAATATGTTGTTTAATTAGCTGATGGCCACTCACGCCGCTCTTTAGATCCTCGACACGATCCAGGAAACGCTCGTGATTGTCCTTAACGGCTCGATCGGAGCTATCCTCTAGTTGATAGAAAACGCACTCCAGCTGTTGTTGCTTTTCCGCCTGCAGCTCCTTGAAGATGGACGCGTCCTGTTTCCATTCTCTAAGCACCGCCTGTTTATCGTCCTCGTAGATGCGCCAGAAGAACTCTATGCGGCTACTATGAATGCCTGGGTTTGGGGTTTTAAAAAAAATTAAAAAAAATAAATAAATACATGTATATAGCACACGTGTCAAGAGTTCACCTATGATCCGGTCAATGTTCTCCATGTGCGACTGCTGCAGATTGGCGTACATATCCTCGGTGGTATTGATGTCGCCGATGAGTCGTTGTATAACCAGATTCTTGCGTTTGAGTGCCTCCTTGAAGAACTGCGCCACATCGACGATTTCACGTCGCAGATCCTGTATCTTCACCTGCCGCAGTATCGAACGCCATTCCTGGTTTATTTTCGCCATGTTAAGGCGGCAAAACGCATCCTCACGTTTCAGTTTGTTCTGTACGGGATCAAATGTGTATAGTCGAGGTTTTCTTAGGGTATCTGTGCGTCGGTACCTTCATGTAGAGCGCAATGAGCTGCATTTTCCGCCGCCTGGTCTCCTCCTCCATATCGGCGCGCATTTGCAAGTATCTGGCACGCTCCTCCTCGGACATTTTTGCCAGCTTATTGCCCTTGCCCTTGCCCTTTTTGCCCATCTTGAAGTGTTTCTATTGATTGATGCTTATTGAAACCCGCTTATCAAATTTCAAAGGCCAGCAGTCGGACTAATTATGCCTACAGCTCGCAGACCCAAAACAAGCGAAAACGGCTGCCATGACGACCCTCCGCCGGCTCGTTGCCAGGGGCTGCCCGCCGGTTGTCATCATAATGCCCAGCAATTGAGCGTGCATTAAATTAACGTCTGTTCATTTCAAAGCCCATTAAAGCTTGACAACTGATTCGGTCTAAACGCTGACCTATAAATGGCCACTGGCAACTGGCAGCCACAGCTAGTTGTCAGCATGTGGAGAGCGATATATGTGTTGGCCTTTGCACTGGCGCTGCGGCTGGTGGTGGTGAGTCAAGTGCAGTCGACCGACCCGATTCACAATATAAAATATCCATTTACGCAGATCCGGCCATCGCTGGGCATTCGCGTGCACTGCCGTCACATGGAACGCATCCATGAGGATCACATACACTACTGCTGCAAGCATCCGGACGGGCACAACGATGTCACCGAGCTGTGCGCCCAGCAGACCAACTTTAGGCTGCCCGCCAGGAACGAGGAGGCCATGGAGGACATCACTGTCGACGAGGTCATGTCCGGCAACTGTTGGGCCAAGTGCGTCTTCGATCATTACAAATTTATGGTGAACGATTCGCTCGACATGCTGGCCGTGCGCAGTCACTTTAGGACCGTGCACAAGCTGGATCCCGAGTACGAGACGGAAATGTTGGATGCATTCGAGAAATGCCATTCGAAATGTAAGCAAACAGGATTGAACTTTTACTTGGCATTTATATTTTTTCATGGGCACACTTACAGCTGAGGAGGCCACAGCGGAGTTTCTGTCGCTGCCCATTGTGCGCGCCTTTAGCACCGCAAAGTACTGCAAGCCCATGTCCAGCATTATCCTGTCCTGCGTGATCAAGAACTTTTTCCATAACTGTCCCCGAAGCCGTTGGTCCAATACCACGGAGTGTGCGGAGACCTTGGCCTTCTCCAAGAAGTGCAAGGATGTGCTAACCACCATGTAAAAGATGTCAAAGGATTTCCAATCATATAAATCTTTATATAATTATAGAACGAACTATATAAAAAAAAAGAATTAAATGAGCAAAGCAGCATACAACTTTGATTTTAACTTAAGAATTAAAGAGAGGGGAGAGAGCTCTGAGCTAACAAGTGGGAATAGGTTGAGAAGGGAACATGCTCACAAAGAATTGGGATAGATATATGTGTAGTTAAAGCTGAAAACTGAAAACTCGAAAGAAAAGAATAAATAGACCATAGCTAAATAAAGTTAAGCGATGATAGATAGATAAGATGATCAATTAAACTTTTAGATCAGATGAGCTTTATATATGTTAGATATCTTCTTTATTGTTTCAAAATCATTCAACTCTTTACAAAGTGGCCAAGGAATCGCGACAGTTCTGACTAAAGGCCAATACGTTCTCGCACTCCGCGGACTTGGACCAGCGATCAGCGGGACAGTTATGGAAGAATTGTCGTATGACACAGGCCATAATCACGCTAGACTTGGGCGCGCAGAAATGTTGGGACATCTGCACGAATATATGATTGGACATGAACTTGGCCGTGTTCTCCTCAGCTGAAATGAGAGGACATTCGATGAGATTGCGTACAGAGATGGGATTCGCTATGGCTGCGACTCACTTTTGCCATGACAATGATCAAAGGCGCTTATCATTTCCTTGACATACTCCGGATCATCGCTGTACTTTTCGCTTAAGTACTTTTTCACTGCATCCATGTCCAGGTTGTCGTCCTTCATGATGTTCAGCTTTTCGAAGACGCACTTGGCGAAACAGGTGCCGGCAATGGCGCGGCCTGCAGTCAGATCCACAATAGCTTGCTCCTTCGGATTGGGCACCTTGAAGCCCGTCTCCTTGGCGCAGCTGGCAATGATATCATTGTGCCCGTCGGGATGCTTGCAGCACTGATGGATGTGATCCTCGTTTATGGTATCGGTCTTATCGCAGTCAATTTTGATTGCGCCGGCAAACTGTGTTTAAAATTAGTTGAGCATTAAAGTTTATAGTTTAGTCAGGAACTTACCCAGACGAGACAGACGAATGTTATGGAGACTTTTAGATACATTTTGGTGCTCAACTTGGTTCTTCACTAAATCCAAATATGTGGCCTTTATATAGATGCTAGTCCGGAACTTTACCGATTTCCGGCTATATGTATATTATTGCCTTAAATGAGGCTTCATCGTGATCTCATATCTTTGGACTAATAGATTTGTTTTTGTTGCGAGCCATTACACAAGTGGAGTAGCAACTTTTTCTACATTTAATTAAGCAAAACCAATTTAATTAAATGCGTAATTAAAGTACGAAATGTTATAAAGTGACGTGCAAAACTCAGCTCCATTTCATTTAACAAACAATTTAACAATGCGCAGTCGAGTATGCCTACTACTTGGCCTTCTGCTGGTCGGGCAGGTCCTGGCACAGGACTCCGAGGAGACGGCTGTGGAGGCGGGCTCAGTAGAGAGCTTAACTGAGGCACAGTGTGGCATGAAGGTGAGCAGCTGAGTCTTCTATAAGTACCCAAAAATAACTGATAGTTGACGGCAATGCCAGCGCAGTGGATGCTGCTCGGATCTGTATCTGGGCGATGAGGAAACGCTGATGAAATGCTTCTCCATACATTCCACTCGGCTGCCACCGGATGGCGATAAAGACATGGGCAAAACGCTCAAGTTTCTGTCGGTTGGTATTATATATATATACAGTTTGGATAAGTTGGGTGTTGGCCTAATCTCTGACCGATCTCTAGTGCTTCGTGGAGTGTCTGTATAAGCAGCGCAAGTATATCGGCAAAAGCGATACGATCAACATGAAGATGGTGAAGCTCGATGCGGAGACACTGTACGCAGATCGACCCAAAGAGCAGGCGTATCACATCAAAATGTTTGATTTCTGTCGCAAGGATGGTGGGAGCTTTAATTAATTGCCAGCTGGACGATATTAAATGTCATATTTTTGTCCAGCCATGACCGTCTACAACCTGCTAAAGACCAGTCCGGGTGCCAAGGCTATGCTGAAGAACGCATGTCGACCCTTTCTCCTGATGGTATACCTCTGCCAGTCGGACTATCACCAGAAGCACGAGTGCCCCTACTTTCGTTGGGAGGGCGACGAGAAGGCGGGCACCAAGCAACAGTGCCACGATGCGAGGGCCAAGTGCTATGCGATCGATGGGATTGCAGCACCCGAAGAGAGTAGCACCTAATGTGCCTTACTATTCAAAATTCAAACACACTGAATAATAAACAATAAATAAAAAACAAAAATACAATTACACATACATATACATATATACACATACAGAGCATTTATACAAATGTCGCAAGGGTACACAGTGCGCGGCGCTACCAAAGATGACCTGCAGAAGATATCGGCGCTGATCTATGAGCCGACTGTCAAATGGTTTGGCAACAAGCGTCCCAAATACGAAAAGAATGAGATCTTTAAAAAATACCAGACCCATCGCATGGCCGTCGAGCTTAACGATCCCATGGACAGCACCCTAATAGCCTATGCCGAGTTTCGTAATTATCCAGCGATTGGGCCAATGCCCAGCGACAGCTGGCTGGAATGGCTGCATGAGAAATATTGGTAAAAATTAAATATATGCCTGGCAGATATCTATGAATTGGCAGTGCTAACAAAGCCTGCTCCATCAGCATCCGAGTCACCATAAGCTGGCTGAACTCCATGTTCTTTAACTTTTGCGTCTATCGAAGGGAGCATCCGGAGGCGTTGCTCGCGCTGCTGCGTGAAGTCTTTTACCTAGAGAATCGCGTTTGGTATTTGATAACAGTTCGAACGCCCGTGCTGCGGGAGGATTTGTACTATGCCGAGAGCTTTGACGATCTGGAGAAGTATGCGACGGTCTATTATCCACGCGAGTTTAGCATTTCCTCCAATTCGAACACGCAGTCCTTATATGTTACGGAGCGGTTCAGAGTTCTGCCGAGTATCACATATCGCAAGGCTCTGTAAGTTCCTGACACAGTCTCGACTGTTGCCAAATCCTTCAACTCCTGCCAGTGCATCCTTAGCGCCGAAGATAACGACGACATCATCGAGATGCACGAACACGAACTGCCCGAGATGCGCGCCGAGCTGGGTGACTTTTATATTGCCGAAGAGCTACTGCGCTCGAATGAGGATGCCAAGAATTCGGTGATAATTGTGGCCGAGCTAGAGAATGAAAACAAGGAATCGCATACTGCGGGCTTCATCTGGCTAGACGCAATGGTGGACATACGCTTCTACGTGCAGAACTTTGAGATGGAAATGTTCGGCAATCTGGTCAAGTTCACAGCCAACAAGCCGTTTGCTTTCGAGCAAATAACTGTGTCGTGAGTGATCCTCGTGTATCTTTGCCAGCCAAAGGGCTTCAATTGGCCTCTACCCAGGTCCGTGGAGCGCAAAGCTGAGGCCAATCTATTCACAGCCGATGCCATGGACGACCTCAACGAAACGACCATAATTGGCGGCGTGCAGCGCAATGATAGTGGCATCAGGTTGGATACTTCATTTTCCCTTTTCCCAGCTCTGAACACCTTAGCTTAACATACCCTGTCACCGTTGGGTATAATGAATCGAACGAGTTCGAATGTTTGTAAAAAGCTGTCCATCCTTGTGCCTGTCTGATTGTTTAGGTTTTAGATATGTTGATTCAATTCGCCGATATCGATATATATGCAACATTAGCTTCGGTTTTGGGGCATACTTCGCAGTTATTACACCTAAGTAGTTCACATTTGGTATGTTGATTGCCGTAAGGCATAAAGTTCTTATGCACATATGAAGTTTCATCTTAATTTTCCAAACTCGGAATAAGCTCGTTTAGAGCTGGGTACAGGGTAGCTGCTAGTCGGGCAACCTCGACTCGAGCATACTCACTTCTCTTTTATAGTGTGGCCAGTCTGAGCAAGCTAAAGGTGAGCTCGATTCAAGGCATTATCGTAGATACGAACGTTTCGACCAGTCAGGATAAGTTCTATATGCGTGAAGGTCTATATATGAAGTTTGTGTATATATTCGAGAGTAAGTCTTAGGTCCTAGAAAAAAAGCTTCATGTCTAATGCGTGCTGCCTATGTGTGTATGTCTCTAGAGCTAGTCACGACTGGTTACTATATCAATGAGCAAAACAAGTATATAATTCTTCATTATAATACGGATCTCAAGAAGCGAGAGGAGGATGGCGTGCAATCTGCCTCCAATGTTTTCGAGTTGAAGTACATCTGTGTGCGCAAGGACTTTCCTCTGGCCCGTTTGTTTAGCTGCCTGAATGCGATGTACGCAGCCTTTCCGGACCGCGACTATTGCATAATGACCATACCCAAGAGCGCCAACTCTCTGCGAAGTCACGTGGAGGCGCTTAAATATTTTATGGCAAGTCACAAAAACCCACAATGAAAATCCATGATTTGTAGTTTTTGCCCCTTTTACACAGCCCGTGGCGATGCGTCCCAGCAGAGTGGCCAACTTGATGGATATCTATATCACGCACCGAAGCGCCATTTTCGGAGAAATTAGGTATGTGACGCCCAAATGTACTCATGCCTATCTCTAGATTACCCATAACGACCTGCCCAGCCTTTCTCGCTTGGAAAGCGGAGACTTTGAAACGGTAGTGCAATTGGCCAAGGGCGGCCAAATGGACTCAGAACTGAGAGAGCTGTCGCCGGACAGCAGCTTCTCGTATTACTCCAAGGTGAATGCGTTCGTCAACATTGACAATGAGGTGCAGGTCATACAGCAGATCATGAACGACGTGCTGGAAAATGAGAATAGCGATTACGATGTGTTCACCATACGCTGTGGCGATTCCACCAAGGCGGCCATGCATAATACGGCCATTGGGTTTGTGATCTTGCGCAAGTATCTGCAGCATCACGAATTGCATCATCACTAT